ATTACCGTCATCATCGCCATACTCATCAGATTCATCATCATCACCGTCATCGTCATCATCATCAGCAGCATCGTGATCATCATCATCATCATCAGCATAATCAGCATCAACCGCATCATCATCATCACCATCATCACCATCATCACCATCATCATCAGCAGAATCAGCAGAGTGATCAAGAGCAGAATCGTCAGCATCATCAGCATCTGCATCACAATTATCATCAGCAGCAGCATCATCAGCATATTCCTCATCATCAGAAACAACAGCATCATCACCATTAGCAGCATCATCATCGTCATCATCATCAGTATCATCAGCATCGTCATCATCATCATCATCGTCAACCTAGTATGATCATCATTATCATCATCAGCAGTATCAGTATCCTGGTCATCATAACCATCGTCATCATCCTTACAATCACCGTCATCATCATAATCAGCAGCATCAGAACCAATAGCACCCTACGCATCGTCATCATCATAATCATCATCATCAGCATCATCATCAGCATCATCAGCCTCTTCATAATAATCACCATCACCATCAGCAACATCAGCATCGTCACCACTATTACGATCATCATCACCATCATCGTCATCATGGCGATCGCCATCATCACCATCATCATCATCACCATCACCATTTCATCATCATCATCATCATCATCATCATCATCATCATTGTCATCATCATCATCATCATCAGCATCAGCATCATCATCACGATCATCAACATCATCATCATCATCATCATCATCACCGCAATCAGCATCAGCATCACCACCATCATCATCATCATCATCAGCAACAGCGGCAGCAGCAGCAGTGTCATCAGTACCAGTAGCATCCGCATCATCATCATCAGCAGCAGCATCACTATTAATAACAGCATGAGAAGCATCATCAACAGCATCAGCAGCATCACCGTCACCCTCATCACCACCACGATCATCACAATTCCCAGAATCATCGTCACAGTCAACATAATCACCCCCAGCATCGTCACGAAGACCATCATGACCACCATCGTCATCGCCCTCAACATCAGCATCATCATCATCATCATCACCGCGATCAGCATGACCATCATCACCATCACCATCACCATCACCATCACCATCATCATCATCATCATCGTCATCGTCATTGTCATCAGCATTAGCATCATTGCGATCATCGTCATCATCATCACCATCCTCGCTCTCCGCATCCCACTCCTTCTGCTGGTCCTCCTCTGACACCCCGCCCCGCTCCTCCCCCTAGCCCTCCACCCCCTCCTCCTACCTTTGCTCATTTTCCACCTCATCATCACACCATCATCAGCGAAATTGTCATCATCACTCTCCTCATCCTCATACAGTTTACAATCAGCATCATCACCATCATCATCGACATCGTCAACGACAGCATCATCGTCATCATACTCATCCGCCTACTCATCCTCATCTTCATCAACGTCAACATCCTCATCCTCGTCCGACCCTTTCTACCCATCCTCCTTCTCGTCATCATCATCATCATAATCATCATCATCATTCTCTGCATCAGCAGCATCATCCTCCTCATCCTCATCCTCATCCGCACCCTCCTCCTCTTCCTCCTCCTCATCAGCATCATGATCATCATCGACGTCGTCATCGACATTGCCATCGTCAGCATATTCCTACAAATCTTCAGCGTCGTCCTCGTCAACATCCTCATCCTCATCCTGTTCCTCCTCCTACGTATCATCATCCTCATCCTCATCCTCATGATCATGGTCATCGTCCGCCTCCTCCTTTCCCTTCTCAGCATCATCATCATCCTCCTCATCATCATGATCATCATCATCACCATCATCATCGTCATCATCATCAACATCCTCATCATCGTCGTCCTCATCATCGTTTTCCCCCCACTTCCCATCCTGCACCCTCTTGCCCCCACCCCATCCCCATCCCCCGAGAGGGGAGGGACGAGTGTCACCGCCTTCTCCATCTCCGGGCGGCTCTTGTCGTAGATCGCCTACGGGCCGACCCAGGACGCCCCCAAAACCTTGCCGCCCTGCTCCCCGACCCCCCCCCCCTCCTTCGATCCTCCCCCTCTTCAGCTCGACGCGCGTACCGCAGACCCCCATCGGGCAATGAAAAAATCACGACGAGAGGTGTTTCCATATTTGGCCCCTGGAGGCCCTCACCGGGCCTTCGGGCCGTCAGAAAACGGCTCGGGGCGAAAAACCGGCCCCGGGGAAGGGGTCGAGACCTCCGAAGATGGACGTCATGATGAGAAGGAAAGGGGAAGAGAGGGAAACAAAAAAAAAAAAACGTCGGGGGCATGGGACGCCCTGGCTCAGGATCGGCCGGAGGGGCAGGAGTTGGCGCCAACGCTGCGGGCGGTCTGGAAGTCGCCATGCGGGCTGCTCCGCCGGCTGCCCCGCGCTGCGCTCCGCGGGTTGCCCCGCGGGATGTCCGGAGGGCTGCCCCGTAGAATGTCCCGCGGATTGTCTCGCGAAGCATCCCGTTGGTTGCCCCGCGGAAATCGCGTGACTGAATCCGGCGGTCGTCCTGTGAGATGCCCCCGGGCTGCCCCGCGGACTGTCCCGCGCGTTGCCCTGCGAGGTGTCCCGTTGTTTTCCCGCGGTTGTTGCGCGACTCGCCCCGCGGTTTGTCACGTGGGTTGCCCCGTGGGATACCCCAGGTTGCCCTGCGGTTGTGCAGAGGGCAACAACATGAGTTTTCCAGAGGGTTGTTTCGCGGCTGAGCCGTGGGTTACGCAAATCGAAGTTCAGAAACCTGTAAGCCTCATGGATATAAACATTTTCATTCATGAAAGAGTTAACTTGCGCAGAATGTAGACGCCACTCTGACACTCTCTATCACTATATATATATATATATATATATATATACGGGCGCGCGGGCATAACGGCCCCCCTGCTGTTCTTAAAAACCACATCCTCGCATATATATATATATATATATATATGTCTGCGTCTACGCGCGCAGCCGATCAACACAAAACGTGCACGCGCATTCTTTTCAAAACCCCGTAAGATCAGTGAAGGCAAGCGCGAGCGACTGAGGCGTCCCCCAACCAGACACAAGTGCCGACGCCTAGTCGAATCACCTGCGCGCGGCCCAAGCCTTCGCCTGCCACGGCTGCTTTCCATCGAGTCGGTGCCCAAACCCTTGGCTTGCAGTGTATTTGGTTACATCGGTTTGGATTGCAACCGCCGAAGTCTCCTTGTTGTGAACGGTTTCAACGCGAATCCTTCTCTGGAGGATTTCTATAGGAATCCTTCTGCGGAGGACTTCAATAGGAATATTTATGTGGAGGATTGCATTCGGATCTTTCAGTGGGGAGTTCACTAGGAATCCTTATGCGGGGGATTTCCTCCTTCCTGCTCCTCCTCATCCGCCTCATTTTTCCTCACCCTCCTCATCCGCCTACTTCTCCTTCTTGTGTAAGGTTTCACTAGGGCTCCTGCTGCAGATGAATTCACTTGGAATCCTTCTGTGGCGGTTTTCAATAAAAGCCGTCTCCTCGTCCGCCTCATCTTCCTCCTCCTCCTCCTCCTCCTCCTCCTCATCCGCCTCATTATGTTTTTTGTTGCCAAGCGCTTCAATCGGAATCCTTTGAGAAAGGGGGCAGGATGAAGAGCGAAGAGAAGGAGCAGGAGGAGGAAAAGAGGGACGAGGAGTAAGACGAGGAGGATGAGGAGCGCGACGAAGGTGAGGCGCAACACATTACTCACAAAACTGGTTGTGGAGCTGGGATCGCAACTGGATGTGCGAGTAAAGCCTGGAAGCGGAGAGGAGCGGGCAGGATGAACAGGAGGAGGAGAAGGAGGGGGAGACGGGTGCGGAGGAAGAGGAGGGTGAGGAGAAAAAGGAGAGTGGGGAGCATGACGAAGGTGAGGAGGAACACCTCACTCGCAAAATTTAGTTGTGGAGCCACGTTCACAACTAGTTTTGTGAGTAATACCTCCGAGTGGGAAGTTACTCGTAAAACTAGTTGTGGAGCTGTGATCACAACTAGATGTGTGAGTAACGCCTCGATGAGGAGAGGAGAGGGCAGAATGAAGAAGAGGAGGAGCAGGAGGAGGAAGGTGAGGAGGAAGAAGAGGAGGGTGAGGAGCATGACGAAGGTGAGGAGAGACACATTACTCACAAAACTAGTTGTGGAGCCGCGTTCACAATTAGTTTTGTGAGTAATGTCTCGTGGCGGGAGGTTAATTGTAAAACTAGTTGTGGAGCTGCCTTCACATCTATATTTGTGAGTAACGACTCGAAGTGGAGAGGAGCGAGCAGAATGAAGAAGAGGAGCAGGAGGAGGGTGAGGAAGAAGAGGACGGTGAGGAACATGACGAAGGTGACGAGGAACACATCCCTCACAAAATTTAGTTGTGGAACCACGTTCACAACTAGTTTTGTGCGTAATATCTCCTAGTGGGAGGTTACTCATGAAACTAGTTGTGGAGCTGCGTTCACAACTAAGTTTGTGAGTAACGCCTCGAAGCGGAGAGGAGGGGGCAGAATGAAGAGGAGCAGCAGCAGGAGGGTGAGGAGCAGCAGAAGGAGGGTGAGGAGCTGCGGAGGATCTCGTTAGGAATGTCCTTGCGTCGAGAATTTCGATTGGAATCCTTCTGTGGAGGATTTCAACGCGAATCCTTCTTCTGAGGAGTTCCAACGGAATCTTCCTGTGGAGGAGTTTAAATAGTGTTGAGGGAGTATTGCTTTTACTCCCTTGCGCTCTTGAGCCAAAACGTTTCCGGTCAGTCTCTCTGCCGATCGGCCGTGCTGCATGCAATGCTACACCCAACTGATATCCCACTTCATGGGATTGATGCTTCTGCTACGATACATGCTACCTTCCTTCCCGGGGCAGGGGTTTAACCCGAACGCCCCTCCTTGGCCGTATCCTGTCTTCGCAGGAAAGGCCAAACTCGGAACCGCTGCCATTCTGGACTCAAACGTCCACGGTCTCAGATCGATTCTGGCAACTAAGCTGCATGCTCTCAGTCGGGCTCGTCGGCCCGCACGGTGCTACCCGCTTCTGGCTCGACCGCTTCTCCGGCAACCCTCAGTGCCTTCGGGTGCCGTCCTGTGGCCTCTCTGAAGTTCATCAACTTCATCAAAGTCTCCTGCACGGTGACGCTGACGGCTTTCGTTCCGATGTCCGCCAGATTCTCGTCCTTGTGCACCTTCTTGATCCTGAGATCTCTGCGATTGACGTGGTGTTGTAGCCAGAGCAAGCCCGTGTCGAGATGACGGACCTTGCCCAAGCCCACTCTCGACGCGATGCCCTTGCCTGCCGTGCTGTCGGTGTGGAGGTCAATGGACACCTGTCCTCCCATGTCCCGGATCATCGATCTCATGCCGATGGCGGCAGAGCCGCCCTTGACCTGGGCCACGAACTCCGCCTCGAGAGAACTCAGGGCAGGGGCCGTTTGGGTCGCCACCTGCACTCGCAGGCAACGCTTGCCTTTCATCGTTACCGCACAAGACACACTCTTACGATCCAGATCCTGAGCCCAGTCGCTGTCGGCGTACACGTCGATCCTGCCCGGCTGGTCCTGCAAAGGGAACTGCTGGATCCACCGGCCGTGCCCATGTAGGTACCTCAAGCATCTCTTCAAGCGTGCCCAAGACCCAACTGTTGGCTTAGCCATGAACCTCGCCAGCCGGTTTGCGCTGAATCTGTGCACCGGGACGTCCGCAGCGAGATAAGCTAGCCTCATTGTTGCGGATCGGAATGCTGTCGCCTGCCCTCGGCCTAGAGGCTCCTCGTCGTGCATGTCCTCCAAACGCTTGTCGGCAGGTGTCGTCGCGGATTTTGACCGGCCGTCGAAACCAACCAGGCCACGAAGCAGGTCAACATGGCGTGGGTCAGGTTCGAGAGAAACCACCCGGGACGCGTCGTTCAAGTCCACCAGCCTGTTCAGGATGGTAACGTGCTTGTCGTCTGCTGTGCCCCAGCCAAGCTTTGCGCGTCTCTTGAGGATCATCACGCTCCGGAGGCCCTCTTCGAGCCGCTCTAACCACTCATCAGGTCCCTCGAAAACGAGATCGTCTCCGTGGCGCCACCCAGCGCTGTCCTCGGCAGCGCAGTAGTACAGACAAGGTGATGACAGCCCCACCTCGTACTGGCGCCTGACGATCGCTTCGTTGAAGAATTCGTCCCAGGCGTTTGCTGCATCTCGTGTCCCGTACAGGGTGCGCAACAACCTGCCCACGAAGCCTGCCTGAGCGTCCTCTTCTGGCAGCCGGATGTACAGCTCCCGGCGGCACTTCGGATGAAAATGCGCTCGAGAAACGTCCAAAACTAAGATCTTACGCTCTCCTGGGCTTCTGGCCGGCCCCCTCCTGCGCGACTGGAACCGAGACAACAAGTACTTCAACGACTCCAATGGTGGAGTCGCGGCAAATGTGTCCTCCATCGCCGGCGACTTCCACTTGAACTCACGCCCGACGAATCTAGCTCGAACGTCTGGTGCGTTTACGTCCCCTTTGTTGGTTATGGTCCACCTTGTCGAGATGAACCCTTTGCCCTTGGCCATCGCCTCTGGCACCTTCTCATAGACAGGGGAAGTACGAAGGAACTCGATTTCCTTGACTTTGGCTTCCCTGACATCTCGGGAGTTCAACCGTTCGCCCGTCAGCTCGTCGAAGAACTGCTCGAGCCCGTCTTCGTCCCACTCCTGGGTGTCGTGGCCGGTAATGCCCGGCTCCAGGGCGTTGATGCTGACCGCACCGTCCTGCCGCAGCTGTCTACGCAGCCCTCTCAACACAGCCGCCACTATGGCCGGCTTACTCTCCACCATGGGACTCATGGTCACTATGCTGCTGATGGCATTCTCGCGATCGCCGTCCTGGAGCTTCGTGAGTTCCTCGGCGATGCATCCGGAGTTGGTCAGCCATTCTGCGGCCCTTCCGGCCTTCACATGCTGGACGCTCTCATGCCCCAGCAGATGGCTACCATCATCCTCTTCCTCTTCCTCCCTCCCCCCCTGCTCGTGGCCAGGGGCGGCACCATTCACGTGCTCGTGGAGGAAATAGTGACCGTCTTGCAACTGCTTGTGGTAAAGGTTGCGACTGTCTCGAAAACGCGCACGCCCAATCAGCAGCTTTGGGCGGACAGTGCCCCGGAGGCATTCCGCCTGCTCCACATGCGTCTGATTCTTAAGATCCCAACCCGTAGTCAGATCTAGTGCGACCCCGGGGTGCACTCCCCACCGGGACGCCTGGTCAGCGAACCGCTTCCTGCAGAACACCTCCGACTCGATCACGTCGACGTCGTCCTTGATAGGCTGCCGGATCGCCTCCTGCAGCCGCGGCCCGATCGCCGCTCCTAGGTGCATCAGCTCGCCCACGATCTCCGCGACCTCGCGCCGCGCCCTCTTGGCAGCCCGATCGCGCGGACCACCTGCTGGGTCGTCCCCAGCTCTGACCTCACCTCTCCGCAGTGCGGTGCTACCCGCTTCTGCTCGAAGGGGGTCCTGAGCCTCGCCTGGACTGCGAGCCGGCACGGTGCTACCCGCTTCCGGCGAATCCGGCTGGCTCGGAGCGTCGGCCGGCGCGGTGCTACCCGCTTCCGGCGCGCTCCCTGGCTGCCTCCGAGCGTCGGCCGGCGCGGTGCTACCCGCTTCCGGCACGCTCCCTGGCTGGTCCGACGGCGCGGGGCTACCCGCTTCCGTCGGCACCTCTCCTGCGACTTCACCTGGTCGTAGAACCTGTGCTCCTCCTGGTCGTCTGTCTGGTGGTGCTCCTGCCTCACCCCGTCTACGATGAGCTTCCTCGACTCGCTGTCGAACCTCGGACCTCTCGTCCGCCAAGGTCGCCGCCTCGATCCTGTTACGGCACTCCTGCGCGTGTAATCGTGCTGGTCGGCCTTCAAATGCCGCTGCACATCCAGGACAATTATCTGAGAAACCGTACGCTCGAAGCTCAACCTCACGACGAATGTAGAACCTCCTCGGAATAACTTCCGGAGATCTTGGTTTCGGAACTCGCGGGGGCAACTCCGCCTCAGGGACGATCGGTTCAGTCGCCCGGCGGGGCTCGTAGTCGACGGTTTGGCCTCCTGGTTCTCCCGGTACTGGGTCCCAGGGGACCCCCACGATGGATTTCAAGAGCTCCGGATCGCTGGACTGGATCGCCGGCAACCGCTTCACGCAGTTCACCTTGAAGACGCCGCGGGGCGTGCCTACGAGCAACATGTAGCTGCGCTCCACCAGCCCCAAGTATATGCCGGTCTCCCACCTGTCCTCGAACTTCCGTCGCCGCCGTACCGTCAATACCGGCATGTGCATCACGGCCTGGCTTGCCCTTGCGTATCTCGTAGGCGGTCCTGTTGTCCTTGGCGGCACGCTGGGACCTGTTCAATAGTTGCCCTGCGTACCCCACGGCATAGATCCTCAGAGGGTGCTTGAGCGGCACCTGGACGCGATGATGTTCCAAGCATGCGTGCACTAGGGTGCGAGCCGTGCTCTGGACCTCCCAGATAGCACGCTCGACAACAGCATTCTGCTGTGGCTCGGACGTGCCGCTCTCTTCCAAGATGACGTCCACAGGGCCCGCAACCTCCCGTAGCTTCTTCACCACCTCCTGCTTGAGCGACTTGATCGCAGGCTCCCCGTCGCTCTTGTACGTGAACTTGGCGAAGCCTGCCTGCATCACGTCGTCCACCGTGGCCTTCACAGCGTACGTCTCTGGGCCCTTGCGTGGGACCACGCGTGCCGATACCCACCGATCGCCGTAGAACTTGTGGACCAGGATTGGCAAGCACTTGTCGGTAGCCTTGTCGCTCTCGACGGCGTCACCCATGAAACAGTAGTCGCAAGCCACTCCCTGGACGCCAAAATCGTCGGACGTCTTCAGGAAGTGTGGATCCGCCTTTCCCTTACCAGCCACACAGCTACGGCGCCAAGCAGCATAGGGCATGTGATCGATCTCATGCCTCGCTCTCTCCTCCGGCGTCGGGAGGTTCGGTGCCATCATCGCCGGTACGCCGCCTCCCCGATTCCCGAAGATCTCGTGCTCGATGTGCTGCTGCTGCTCCTGCTGCTCGTCCGCCCCATCCTCCTCCATAGGGCTACTACTCGGCTCAGGTGCGGCATTGTTGCCGCCTGCCCCTCCTGAGCCGGACTCCAGGGGACTTACGGGCACGCCGGCCCCCCGAAAGGGGGTGACGGCGGCAGCGCAACCTCGGCATCGATCTCAAATTTACCTCCTCGACGTGTGATCTCGATCCCCTCCCCGGTCCTGCAGTGTTTGGCGCAGCACCGGCCGCCGCACTTGAAATGCAGGTCGTGGCCGGCGTCCATCATCGAGCACATCGCCAGCAGAGGCTTCCTCACCGGCACAACGTTCACGTTGGCGCTTCTCCTCAAACCTCCCATCCTCAAATCGTACCGTCGTCGTCCAAGATTGGGAAGGCTAGGGGTCTCACGGTCTCCGGGTCCGAAGTACTTGGCTCCCCTACGAGATTCTGGACTCTCCTCCGCGGCCACCTGCGGGAAGAGCTCCGGGGGCCACACCGTGACCTCCGCGCCGCTGTCCAGGCCCATCGTGACGCGGTTCGTCGTCGTCTGGGCGTGGACCACGCCGACCTCCTTCTGCTCGGAAACCTGGCACAGCTCCACGCCCCCGCAGTCCTGGTCCTTCAGCGCGCCGATGTTCAGGCTGAGCGCCCGCAGCTGTTCCTCGATCGCAGCGATGTCCACCCTCTGCCTCTTCCTGCTCGGGTCTCTGTCGGTGGACGATCCTGGCGCCTGTCCTCCTGTCCTCTGCGGATCGGCATGGCTCCTCCTCTCGTCTCCTCCTTTGCTATCCTTTCCTTTACCTGTTCCTCCTCGTCCTTTCCCTTTTCCTTCCCTATCCTTACCTTTTCCTCCTCCTCGTCCTTTTCCGGCGCTCGGCGGTGGTGCCTTTTTCTCTGCGTTCCACCAGCAGTCTGCTTTCTTATGGCCAGGCTTGCCACAGCAGAAGCAATCTCCGGCGAACTTGATCTTGAGCTCGCCCTTCACCTGGCCCTTCTGGCTAGTTTTACCGCCGGCTCCCACGGCCAGGACTTCCGCCGAACCGCCGGGGACGAGCCACTGCTTGACTCCGAGGTACTCCTGGATGAGATCACTTTTTTATTCCGGCCGGTAACGCTCGTTACCCGGGGGGGGGGGGGGTCGTGCCCCCCGGGTAACGGTTACGCTTGGGCTGGGCGGGGCATGGCGAAGCAGGGGCGCCCTGCGATCGCCATAGTATGCGCGCGAGCAGCACTCTCTGCCTGAGAGCACCACAGTGGCTTGCGATTCGAGTACAAGCGCAAAGCCCGCCGCGTGGTCCCGGCACCACGCCCGCGCCCGCGCGCGCGACGACGATGATCGACGAGCGACGAGCGACGAGGTCGACGACGACGACGACGACGTTTGCCGACGAGGTCCGAGGCGACGAGCCGTCGACGACGACGACGACGACGACGACGACGACGACGACGACGACGACGACGACGACGACGACGATTCGAGTACAAGCGCAAAGCCCGCAAGCACCAGCATCGCGCATGCGAGCGCCGCAATGGCCTGCGAGCGCCCACAGTGCGCCTGCGACCACCACACCACAGTGCGCATGCCTTCGGGCACCAGCATGTTGGAGGGGAAGACCGAGACCCCCCCCGCGCACGAGCGTTACCGTTACGGGGGGGGGGGGGGGGGGGGGGGGGGGGGGGGAGGCCCGGGTAACGAGCGTTACCCCCCAGAGGATAAAAAACAATCTCGATCTCCCTCTTCATCTCGATGAAGGTGTCCACGCGGTACGCGTTGAGAACGAGGTGGTCGCCCAGCTTCTTCTGCAACTCGCTGCCGGCGGCCAGCGCCTTCAGCAGCACGCCGGTCCGGGTGTCGTCGTCGACGGTCTTCTTGGTGGCGGCCTGGTACTGGCGGATCTGCGTCTCGAGCCTGTCGATGCCCTTCCGCGGGCCCTCGCCCTTGTTGAAGGTGAAGTTGAGGTACGCCTGCTGCAGGGCCATCTTGCGAGACGCGAACTTCGGCTCGAACTCCGCCATTAGGAGCCTCCACAGTAGGAGACCTTCTCCGTACTCGACGGTCTCTAGCTTCTCCATCATGTTCTCCTTGAGCAACATGGTCAGGATGAAGTACAACTGTGCGTCCAGCTGGTCGTCGCCCGGGTCCAAGTCCACCCTGTCGAGGCTCTCGTCGAAGTTCTCGGCTTTCCGGATGAGCTCCAGCATCCGGCCGGACACCGCTCCGAGGTCGGCCCGCATGGTCACAGACCACCTCCGCCAGTCCGCTTCCTTCCCACTGAACTCGCCTGGCTTGTTGATCAGCTTGGTGTCCACGCTGGTCGGGACCAGCGGGGTAGCTCTCGCACGAGCTGCGGCCTCGCTCTTCTTGGCGTCGTCGGCCTCCTTCTTCCTGGCCTTGTCGTCCTCGTTCTTCTTGAGCTGCTTCTTCAGCTGCGTGTTCTCGTCCTCCAAGCGCTGGGGTCTTTCTAACGCTGCTTCGAATTGTTCCTCCATTGTGGAGCTCGTCGAGGTCGTCGTCGATCTCCTTCTTGAGGCGCTTCAGGTTCAAGGCCCTCTGCTCCTCTGTGGTTGGCTGCTCGCCCGCTGCGTGTCGTCGCAGCGCCGAGCCTCGTAGTTGTCGGTTGGACCTCGACTCTGCAGATCGAAGTCTCTGTTTGCCCATGCACAGAGGAGCCCAGCCGAACCTGAGACCACGGAGCTACCCGCTTGTCTCAGATCTGACCAGGCTCCGCTACCACGTTGAGGGAGTATTGCCTTTACTCCCTTGCGCTCTTGAGCCAAAACGTTTCCGGTCAGTCTCTCTGCCGATCGGCCGTGCTGCATGCAATGCTACACCCAACTGCTATCCCACTTCATGGGATTGATGCTTCTGCTACGATGCATGCTACCTTCCTTCCCGGGGCAGGGGTTTAACCCGAACAAATAGGATTCCTTCGGTGGAGAGTTTCAATCGGCGTCCATTCTGCGAAGGTCGAACAACAATACAAATTCCTCCGAAAATAAAACAAAATGATTCCGAGAGGACTTCTGGAAAGAGGGGCCGGCAAGGTTCTCCCGAAATCACAACTGTTTGGTATGTGTGTGCGTTTGTCGTGGTCTTTTTGGTATTGCGAGTTTTGGTTTACATGTTTTCGCTGTTTTGTTCGCAGCGTCGCTGATTGTTCGCAGGCGTCCGTGTGAGTTCGAAAAGGAAGGGGAGGAGGAAGAGGAGTGGAGAAGAGAAGTATCGATACCATTCTTCTTGCACGACAAGGTGAAGCAGGGGGACCGATACGCCCGCACACCTATATCTATCTATGTGTGGGGCAGGCGGGGGTGAGCGATAGCTCATCGAATTAAGGAGAAATGTCTTTCCCTCTTCAATCGGCCAAAGCTGTTGACAGAGCTTAAACTCCCATGGGCACCTATACTTATATTTACAGAGGCCTCTGCACGGAGCTCGAAAGGTCTACTCTCTTTTGCACGGACCGACCCCCCACGCCAGAGCACAGACCGCACCCCGAGGCCAGAGCTGGATTCGCAGACCACCATCCGCAGAAGACTGGGGTCGGCCACCATCACGGGAGACTGGGGCCAGAACGCTCCGCGGCCTCGGGGGCCAGGGGAGGCTCGACGGCCTTGGGGGGGCCCAGCAAAGAGAACCCCCTGAGAGCCCAGCAGGGCCGTGCCCAAGAAGCTCGAGCTCTCGCGAGACTCATGATGCATTCACCACTTAGGGTGGTATGTGGGTGAGCCAGAACAGCTGCCATGCAAGCGAATGCGGCCGATGTGACACGCTACCCCCCTGACGCCCACACATCTACCGTAAACGTATACATGTGTGGGGCAGGCGGGGGGTGAGCGATAGCTCATCGAATTAAGGAGAAATGTCTTTCCCTCTTCAATCGGCCAAAGCTGCTGACAGAGCTTAAACTCCCATGGGCACCTATATTTATATTTACAGAGGCCTCTGCACGGAGCTCGAAAGGTCCACTCTCTTTTGCACGGACCGACCCCCCACGCCAGAGCACAGACCGCACCCCGAGGCCAGAGCTGGATTCGCAGACCACCATCCGCAGACTGGGGTCGGCCACCATCACGGGAGACTGGGGCCAGAACGCTCCACGGCCTCGGGGGCCAGGGGGGGCTCGACGGCCTTGGGGGGGCCCAGCAAAGAGAACCCCCTTGATAGCCCAGCAGGACCGCGCCCAAGAAGCTCGCCAACTCTCGAAAAAGACACCAAGCTCTCCATTCAGTGTTTTTCCTCTGGCCGTAGGCCGAAGATATGTCAAGCCCGGCGACGGCAGCACGGGCAGCAGCTCGCACCAGACATCAAAAATTATTGCAGCAGGTCACGGGCTGCAAAACGCTCGGACTCGAGCGAAAAGTGCATTAGAGAACTGCTGGAGCGTCGAGCGGGTACGATCCTGGAGATCTCTGCGATGATGGCAGCCCCGTCTTGGATGCATATCTTTGCCGTTCTTGCCGAGCTCCAGCGCCCACGCAACATGACCTTAGACAAGTCGCCCGACAGCAGGAACTCATGCGTGGCGCCTCCGCGCCTCAGGCTGCAAGGAGACAGGGCGAGGTGCCTGCAACCGATCTGCTGGAGCCCAGTACGGAACAAATCGTGAAAGGCGCGCGTCGTGCCAGGCCAGAGCCGGCTGTCACGCTGGAGCTGCATATGGACGACTGCCCCAACCAGCGGGTCGTCAAGCGTGACTTGTTCCCGCGCGCCCTTCTGGCAAGAGGTCTTGGTCCAGGGCAACGACACCACGCCTCGGCCACAGGGCTTCAGAAAGATGACGCCGCCGCTCAGCCCCAACGCCTCGCCAGTGCGGAGACAAAGATGGAAGGCCACGAGCAGCACGGCTGCGAAGGCTACCTCTCCGCGGCTGAGCGCCCGGCGAGCGCCGTGCAGACCTGGGCAGGCATCGGCGGCGCGCGCTGGGGGATCTCCAGTCTGCCCCAGACTGTCAGCAGCTGCCAAGCGCCAGGATAGCGGCGTCGTGTCCTCAGCAGGTGCTGCACGCCGCTGAGGGTGTCATTGGCTTCTCCTTTTGTGGCGCCCTCGGCCCACAAGTGCTCAAGATAATCTTGCAAGCAGATATCAATATCGTCCCAGGCCAAAGGCAGCGGCAGGTTATTGGCAGCAAGGTAGTCAACATAACGCTGAGCGGCGCCACGGTAGCGGGCCAGTGTCGAGGCCTTTATCCTGGCGTCTCTCAGCTTCCCCAGTCCAGCTCTGGCGGCGCGGCGGTCAGCAGGGCTACTCCGCTTCTTACCCATCGCGGAGACGCGAGGGGGCGTCCGCGGGGTTGCGAGCCGACGACGTGAAGCCGAAGACCGCCCGCGCGCCCATCGCAAGCTCCCACGCCGAGAAGGTCCGCACCACCTTGTTGAGCTGAGGACTGCTGGAACGGTGCTTGGACAGCGCACCGATGTTGACCATGCTGTCGAGCAGGTGCAGGAAGACGCACTGATGGCGGCGCACCGACCGCGCCCGCCATCGAATCATCATCAGCGCGCCCTGGCACTCAAGAACGTTGATGTGCTCTGCTGCATCCCACACTAGCTGCCTTGCCTTGCGCCACCGCCAAATGCCTGAGTCGATCTCCTGCCGCGGGAAGATCTTGCCGAGCGCCTCCGAGGCGCCATCGGTCCTGATGTCTGCTCCGTTGTTGTGGCACGCCATGACGAGCCCCATGACGATGCGTCTGGACGCGTCCAGCTCGCGCCACTCCACCACGTCACGCTTCGCCAACTCCGCCAAGAGGATGTCGGCATGGCACGCCTGGTCGGGCCCACAGTGACAGACCAGTAGGGCCCCGCGCAGCGTCTCCAAGCTCTGCAGGAGGGTGGGCTGCGTGCGGATCCAACCAGCGAACAGGGCAGCAGCGTCCTCGCGTGACCGCTCGGGGCTGATCGTGAAAGGGTTGCCCCACCGCGAGGCAGCCAGCCCCCAGCGGCGAGACCCACGACCCACGAAGATGGGCCCGCCAGGCTGGTCCAGCTTGGCGTGCAAGCCCTCGTCGATCTCGGAGCGACCGCACCGCAGCGACGTCACGTCGCCGGCCCACAGCTTCCTGCCACCAGCCCAGGCTCGCGCACTCTCGTGCAGCTCACCCAGCGAGGGCACCGAGACCAGCAGCCCAGCTCCGACGGCCCAGTGGCTGATGATCCAGGCCACGACCTCGCACTAGAAGGAGTTGCCCACGAGCGACCGCCGAAGAGCCTCGTACTTGGCGGGCTCGGCCTTCGCCTGGCTGCTCGTCATGCACGGCACGGTGTGGCCCTCCGGGAAGCCCATCAGCTTCTCTCGTATGGTCGCGTCAGGCGGCTCCACGCGGCCATCCGCCTGGTGGATGCACCACTTGTCACGAAACTGGTAGGGCGGCGAAGCGAAGCCCGCCGCCTCCCAGCGCGCCAGCTCAGCAGCGCTGCACTCCCCAATGCCCGCAGGCCTGGGGCGCGGCTGCGAGCGCGGCGCCCAGCGCACGAAGGTCGGGAGCGGCTCCCCTGCGGCGGGACCCGGACACACAGCCCCGGGCGGGAGCCACTCCTCGAGCGGCGGCCGCTCCGCCTTCAGCGCCACCTTGCAGGCGCGCCGAACGTCCTGGGTCTTCGCCCGCACCACGACGGGCTCAGCCTCGAAGGACGGCAGGAGGTCCCACGAAGCCCAGTAGAGCCGCGGACGTCTGACCCAGCCGACATCCCCCGCTTCAATATCCAGCGGGATGCGGCCGAAGAGCTGGTTCAGGCGCAGCACGTCGCACTCGGGCATCGACGCGACGTTCTCTCCGAGGAAGTCGATCGACGCCTCCGGCATGGCCGTCCGCAGCCCGTCCACGATCCGCACCATGTGGTCAACCAGGCCTGCGCGCGGGTCGTCGAGACCCTGCCGAGCGACGTGAAGACCCGCGAAGACCTGGCACGGGAAGCCGCCCACCACCAGCGCACGCGACACCCGGCCTCGGGCGCGCATCAGGGCTGCCAGGGCCACCGGGTCCGCCTCCGTCACGTCCCCCAGGTGCTGCGTGCTGGGGTAGCTGCGCCGGGCCACCCGCACCGCCGTGGGGTCAACCTCGAATGACAGGTGCACGGCAGGGACCAGTCCGAGGATCTCGAAAGCCCGGCGCCCACCGCCGATGCCGTCGAAGACAGTCACGAGGGCGGTCTCCTCCTCGCAAGCGGCGTTCGCGGGCCGCTGCCGCCTCTCGGCCAGCGCGCGCCCGCGGTCGGAGAGGGCGTAGCCGTAGACCACGGCGCCAGCGGCCTCCGAGGCATCCGACGCGGTCACCAGGGGGTCGACCTCGAGGGGCAGGTCAGCGACGCAAAGCCCTGACAGCGCAAGACACATCAAGAGGTCCTCGACCACGCTCACGCTGAAGCGGCCGCCAGTGCGCGGGTTCCCGAGCCACTTCCAGGCGTAGGCAAAGCTGGCCGCCAGCGGCCGCCGGAAGCAGTGAACTCGAACCCAGCGGCCCAGCAGGATGCGCACCAGCCGCACGCTGGCCCGCTTCTTGCTCAGCGTCCACAGCGCGAGGCTGGCCATCTCGATAAGGTAACCCGCAGGGGGGCGCCGCACGCCCTCGACCCCGTCGATGAGCTCCCCCAAGGTTGTCGCTCGAGGCACTCGATGGATGTCCTTGGACGGCGACCCCGGGGAGCCCGCAGCCGCATAGCAGGCACGAGCCTCGGAAATGAGCTCGGGCACCGTCCCTCGCAACGTCGCGGCCTCGGACTTGCTCACGACCTCCGCGACCTCCAGGTTGTCAATGTAGACCATCCACGCCGGAGGGCGCGGCTTCTCCACGCTGAACGGCAGCCGTCGGCGCCGAGTGATCTCCTGGCTGGGCGGCAGGCCGCGAGGGACAGAGGCGCTCCGCCGCAGCATGTTCCGGTGGAGGTGGGTCGTCACGCCCACGGCGCTGATCCAGCCCATGCCGATCACCCGCAGGCAGATGTGCGTAGTCCCACCGTCCTTCAGGCCAAGCAACTCCGAGGGGACGGGCGGCCCTATCACCATGCAAGGCCACCACGCAGGCGGCGCGCGGAAGACGTAGAAGAAGGCCTTCCTGTCCGCGCCGCTCCACAGGAGATCCTCCGACTCGGTCAGCACCAGGCCGTTCAGCTGGCTCATGGTCGGCATCTCAGGGGTGTCTCCCACGATGCACTCCTGGCGCGCGTTCGAGGGGATAAGGTTGGTGATCGGCCTCAGGACCGGCCTGCGCTCGCCGTCGCTGCAGACCACGGGCTCGTCGCGGGGCTTGGGCACCCCGAGCGCCCCGTTCAGGAACGGGGCTCCGTCGCGACAGGCAATCTCGCTGCTCGGGATCGCCGACACCATCCCGCGCTCGTGGAGCGCCCGCACGATCCGATGCCACTCCTCGAGCGAGGCCCACACGCGCGCAGATGTCGGCGCCGGCCGCCGCAGGGCAGCGGGCAGCAGCACCAACGTCGGGTCCAGGAGGGCCTCACGCACGAACCCCGTCGCGAGGTCGGCCGCCTCGATGGAGGCCGCGACGCCTGGCGGCGGCAGCCCGTCCAGCACCTGCTCCAGCGTCAGCCGATGCGGGGCCGAGATCTCGTCCCCGCCGTAGCCGATCTTGCGGTCCTTCAGCCGCACGTTCCAGTCAAGATCTGGCGGTAGAGCAGACTCGGCCCGCGTGGCCAAGAGGCGGCGGCCGAGAGCGACCAGGGCTGCCTGCTGCGCGGCGTTGGCTCGACCTCGGCAGGGCCTGGCCAGCTTCAGGGAGCGGAACCCAGACTCCCAGTTTAGCGCCAGGACAGTGACCACCAGCCTGCAGTGTAGTCCTTCCCACTCCTTGTCGCTCAAAGGGTCCTCGCCCTGACGGACGATCTGGGACCTGTTGATCGAAGGGTATGGTAACGGCGACAGATCTCGCTGAAGCCGACCTCCCATGTCGGCCGGATGCTCGCGTGGCTTTACCTCGAGGGAATATCTAGTGAAGCGACCGAAGGAGCCTGGGAACTGGCGGACTATGTTCAACAACACGGGGCCCACGTCAAAAGGCTCTCGCAGAAGATCACTCGCCGCGCCAGCCCACTCGCGCCACTCTGCCAGCGGATCACCGTAACAGTCGGCGTCCGCACCGCAGGCCGGCGGGCACGACGAGGACGCTGGGCGGCGAGAGGCGGCAGCACCACCACGGTCAGGAGCCAATCTCGGAGGCGGCGAGCGCGACGGTGAAGTCCAGGGCGGTCTGCGCGAGCGGGCAACCTCGGCAAACTCGGTCGCGCTCGCACGCGCATCATCAGCGCTGGCACCATCAGCTCGCTGCCTCACCTCAGCGTCGCAGGAAGGCCGCCTTGGCCCCGGCCCCGGCGCTTCCTGCCGCCACGGCGGCGGCCGCTCGGGGGGGCCGGGCCTCGCGGCGGACCTTGCTGCAGGCCCGCTGCCGCCGCTGCCGCGGGCTGGTCCTGCCTGAAGACGTGGCGCTCCGGGCTCGTCGCCAGCGAGACTCACGCCTCGGCACCGTCCGCCGCCCTCGGGTGCGGGCTGTCGCCTCGAGGCGTCCTCAGCGCCCCCGGAGACGGCGACCTGCCCGCGCTGCCTGAGCGCGCTGCGCCTGGCGGACCCGCGGGCGGGGCTGCGGCTGCGGGCCCTGCCCAAGGCCGCGCTGGGCTCCCCGCCCGCAGGGGGAAGAGGCGGTCTCGGCCGCGCCCGCGGCTCTTCCCGCGACCACGGCCCTGCTGGCGGCTCGGCGAGGGCGAGTCGGCTCCGCCGCTCCCGCGCCTCGCCTCCTCGGGTCAGGCTTGTCGCTCGCCCTGGCCCTTGCCGCCGAGGCCGCCGCGGCTCTTCGCGCCCATCAGCTTCCTGCGCAGCAGTGCCGCCCGCCGCGCCAGACCCTGCTCGCCCATCGAGGCCAGCGAGGGCCGCGCGCCCGGCACGATCTCCAGCTCGCTCGCCACCTGCCAGCTCGCGTCGGACAGCGACAGCTCCAGAGCCTTGAAGCGCTGCATCAACACGTCGCTCAACTCCGCCAGGCACCCACTCTCCAGCAGGTCCAGCGCGGTCGCCAGCGTCTGCAGCTCCCGCTGAGCGTTGATCCGCATCTGCCCTGGAGGGTGATGGCCGAACACCACGGCCTGCAGGTAGCCCACGACCTTCGCTCGAACCTCTGAGCCGTCCGCCCCCTCCCGCAGGCCCATGACGCGCCCGATGTTCTTCATCGCCTCGTCGTACAGGGCACCTGGGCGCTTCTCCGCCAGCAGCCGTACGCTGCCGCCGCGGGAGGGGGCCTCGCGAAAACGCGACTCACCGTCGTCGTCGCTGCGCGAGGCCGAGGAGCTCCGGGGGCGGCGGCGGCCGCGACCGCCACCAGCGCGGCCACACGTCGCCGCAGCAGCCTGCGCGCGCGCCGCGGCAGCTGCCGCCAGGCGGTCGGGGGCCGCGCCCCCGGCTGGGGCGCCCCCCGCCAAGGCGCCGCCGCCGCCGCGCCCGCCGAAGGCGCTCGGCCGCACCCACGGCTCCACGAACCAGCGGTTCGAGCGCAGCCGCAGCCACTCGACATGCAGGACTCCTCGGCCTGGCACAGCGGGGTCCCCGCACAGCGCCGGTCCCTGCCCGCGCAAGTGCAGGAGGCCCGCAGGCCCGCTCCCGCGCGGCGGGAAAAGGCCGTCCAGCCGCATCGCCTCGGCCGCCAGCGACGCACCCCTGAACTGGGCGCTCAGGTACTGCCCTGAGGGGCCCGTGGTGCCGATCTCCTCTACCTCGAAGAGGGCCGTCCCGCTGATGCCTCCAGCTGCGTCGAAGGTCGGGAGCTCGAGATTCACCCCTCGGCGCCAGTCGGCGCCAATCAGAGTCACGGCCTGACGCCGCGGACCGTCCACGAGTGGTCCCAGCTGCGCGCCACCCGCTGGGGCGATGGGACCGCCAGCCACCGCGATCGGCACACCAGGGATCGCCGGGGCCCCAGGCACCGCACCAGGAGGAGGGCCTCCAGGATGGCCGCCGCCGCCGCCGCCCGCGAGCGCGCCCACCAGCGCGGCGCCCACGCCGCCGGGGGGAGCACCTCCGCCGTCAGGCACGGCGCCGCCCGCCGGGGGCGCCCCAGCAGCCCCGCCGCCTCCGAAGCCCGGCAGGCCGGGCAGCGCCGCCAGGCCAGGCGCCACGGGCGCGCCGGCACCGCCGCCCGCGGGCGCGGCCGCTGCGGCGCCGCCGACCGCCTCGGCCGCCGCCAGGCCCGGGGCAACAGGCGGGAAGGCGGCGGCACCTCCGCCTCTCCCCGCGGCTCCTCGCCCGAGGCCGCCGGCGCCGCGCCCTCGGCCGCGGGCGCGTCCTCGGCCCAAGGCCTTCGCCTTAGCCTTAGCCTTGGCTTTGCCCTTGGCGACGGCCTTCGCCTTCGGCGCCATCGAGCCCCAGGCCGGCGAGCGCGGAGAGCAGCGCGCCCAGGAGCCGAGCGGAATCGAGCAGCGCCGCCCTCTCCTCCACGCTGAGGCGGGCGCGCCACGCCGCCTGCCGAATCAAACCGATGATGTAGCACAGCTCGCAGACCTCCAGGAGGGACCCGCCCTCGGCCAGGGCCAGCGACACCCCTCGCCCGAGGGGTCCCGCGCACCACCCGCAGTATCGCACGGGCGAAGGGCGCGGCACGGTGGTCCCGGGGGCGTCCATGCCCTCCCTGGAGGGCGCGGAACCAGCCAGAACAGCTGCCATGCAAGCGAATGCGGCCGATGTGACACGCTACCCCCCTGACGCCCACACATCTACCGTAAACGTATACATATATATACCTATATATGTATCTATCTATCTATCTATATATCTATCTATCTATCTATCTATCTATCTATATATCTATCTATCTATCTATCTATCTATCTATCTATCTATCTATCTATATCAAACTATCTATCTATCTATCTATCTATCTATCTATCTATCTATCTATCTATAAATTACATATGTGTGTGTGTCATCCGCCGACCCTGTCGGCATGTGTGAGGCGCTTTCCCATTTGAGTCGTCGTCAACGCCGTCGCCGCTCCCGCCCGTTCCCTGGGCCCTCCTATTCAAGCGACCCAACCAAATGAGAAGCAAACAACGTCGTAACTGACTCCGAGGGAAGCCCCTTCCCTTTGATCCCATCCATGCCGGGGGGGGAGGGACCGCGGAGGGGTCCTGGGGGTGGTCGTGGGGAGGGGGGGGGGGGTCCTGGGGGAATTCCGGGAGGGGGGGTCCCGGGAGGGGTCCCGCGGGGCGTGCCCTCCCCCTCGGGGGGTCCCCTCCTTGGACAGTGGGGACAGGGGAGTGGTCCCCCTGTGGACAGGGGAACTCAAGCCCCCTCCCCCCGCCCCCCCTCTGTGGACAAGGGGACCACAACCACCACCACCACCACCGCCTCCTCCCAGATCCCCCTCCCGATTGCACCCTCCTCACTCTTGTCCGCTGTTCTAGGGTGCTGCGTATTTCCCGTATGCCTCCAAGAGGCCACAGATCAGCTCCGAAGCGGCTCCAAGTGACAACGGAGCTTCCCAAGAAGTCCCCAAAGGGGACCCCCAACAGATCCCCAGAGACCCCCGAGAGAGCCCCAAGAAGGGCTCCAGAGCGTCAGTTGTCGTCGTCGCCGCAGCCGCCGCCGTCGTCCCCCTTCAGATACGGCGGCACTGGCCGCAAGGCCTTCCCAACATGGATGCATGGCCCGATGGACAGATAGGTAGCCATGTTGCGAACCCGACGCGAAAACAATGGCAAACCGAAAGCTGTACCCATGCCCGAACCCCCCTCTCCCCCAAAAAAGTCCGTATCGAAGGCTGGTTTATCAGGCATATACCACACAGTCATTCCTACAACACCTTTTCTTTTCCTGGCTCATCCCACTCACCCATCGTCCTCCGCTCCATCCTCTGCCTGCTCTCCCTCCCCTCTTCTGGAGGACAGGATCCCTCTGCTCCCATTACCTGTTCATGTTCCCACAGAAGCTCACGCGCACCCCTTCGTCCACACTGTGGCCCCCACTACGCACCAGCCATCAGCTGCGCCGATGCCCTCCCGCAGTCTGTGAGCGGCGGCCTTCTCGTCCGCGCGGATCTTGTCCATCTCGGCCTGCGACTTGGCGAGCTCCGCGAGCGACTGGGAGCGGTGGCAGACGACATACACAAGATGCACGACCAACGGGCCTCGAGAGCATCAGTTCCACTCGACGCGCTGTCGAGGGAGGGGCCAGAAATGCCGTAGCACCCTGTGTGAGGGGCATGCCCCAGGCAGACGCAACAGAACTGGAAAGCAGGGCGCGAGACAACACGAAAACACACACGCACACACGCGCGCGCACGCTCGCACGCACGCACGCACGCACCCGCGCACACACACACACAAACAAACAAACAAACAAACAAGCAAACAAGCAAACAAACAAACAAACAAGCAAGCACGAACACAAAGAAACACACACACGCGCGCGCACACACACGCGCGCGCACGCGCACGCGCACACATACATATGTACACACACGCTCGCGCATACAGCCACGCACGCGCACACACACACACACACACACACACACACACACACACACGCGCACGCACGCACGCACGCACGCACGCACACACACACACAGACACACACACACACACACACGCACGCACGCACGCACGCACGCACGCACGCACGCACGCACGCACGCGCGCTCTCTCTCTCTCTCACACACGCGCGCACGCACGCACGCACGTGCGCACACACGCGCACGCACACGCACACGCGGACATACACACACACACACATGCACGGGCGCGCTCGCGCACAACAACGAGGAACACGCGCGCGCAGACGTGTACGTGCCTCTCACACACACACACACCTACGCCTGTGCTGTCAGTGGTAGCAGCTGAGGTCGGTCCTGAAGCCCTGAATGCGTTCAGGTCTATCCTATATTCAGATGCGCAGGTCTGTCGCGCTGAGGCTTTGACGACGACGACGACGACGACGACAACGACGACGGCCTCCTCGTCCTCTTTGGCGACGGTGACGGTGACCTCCAGCAGCAGCGGGCAAGGGGGGCGAAGGAGCAGAGGAGAGGCCTCCTGCAAGGCGGCCACCTCGCCCTTCAGCTGTGCCGAGCGGGCGGTCCACTGGTCGATCTGGGCGTCAATGGGCCTCCTCCGCCTCCTCCTCCTGCACCTCCTCCTCCTCCTCATCCTCCTCCGTGTCCTCTTCCGTGTCCTCCTCCACTTCCTCCTCCTCCTCCTCCTCCTCATCCTCCTCCTCCTCCTCCTCATCAATCTCCTCCACCTCCTCCTCTAACCCACCCCTACTCATGTTGTCCCCCTCCTTCTCGTCCTCCTCCATCCCTCCTTATGAGTAGTATCATGGTTGTTCGGGTTAATAGCAGTCGTGTTAACGTTCGTCGGAGTAGCCGTCTTATTCTCAGTATTCGTACAATGAGTATTCGTCTTCGCAGTGGTTTTGGTATGAATACTCGTTTTCGTGATAATAACATTCGTAGTCATATCATGGTTGTTAGTCGTCTTACTATGATTACTAGCAGTGGTATTAGCAGTGTTATTGGCTCGATTATCAGCAGTAGTAGTATAGTAGTGCATGGATTCCTCGCCGCATTGCGATTCGCCGTTTTCGTTGATGATTCGTGTCCTCGGCTTCCTCCTCCTCCTACTCCTCCTCCTCCTCCTCCTCCTCGTCCTCTTCCTCCTCCTCCGCCTCCGCATCCACCTCCGCCTCCTGCCCCGCCTCCTCATCCTCCTCCTGCAACTCCGCTTCTTCCTCTTCCTCCTCCTTCGCCTCCCCCTCCTCCTCCTCCGCCACCTGTTCCGCCTTCGCCTGCTCCTCCTCCTCATCATCCTCCTGCTCCTGCTCCTGCTCCTGCTCCTGCTCCTCCTCCTCCTCCTCCTCCTCCTTCTCCTCCTCATCCTCCTCCTCCTCCTCCTCCTCCTCCTCCTCCTCCTCCTCCTCCTCCCTCCTCCCTCCTCCTCCTCCTCCTTCTCCTCCGCCTCCTCCTCCTCCTCCTCCTCCTCCTGCTCCTCACCATCCCCAATCCTCCTCCTCCTCCTCCTCCTCCTCCTCATCCTCCTCATCATCCTCATCATCCTCATCATCATCATCCTCCTCCTCCTCATCATCATCATCATCATCATCATCATCATCATCATCATCATCATCATCAGCATCATCAGCATCAGCATCAGCATCATCATCATCATCGTCATCATCAGCATCATCATCATCATCATCATCATCATCAGCATCTGCATCAGCATCATCAGCATCATCATCATCATCATCATCATCATCATCAGCATCATCATCATCATCATCACCATCATCATCATCATCATCATCATCATCATCATCATCATCATCATCATCATAAGCATCAGCATCATCATCATCATCAGCATCAGCATCATCATCATCAGCATCATCATCATCGTCATCATGCTCCTCCTCCACATCATCCTCCTCACCATCATAGTCCTCCTCCTCCTCCTCCTCCTGCTCAACAGCAGCAGCATCAACATCACCAGCTTCATCGGCATCAGCATCATCATCATCAGCAGCATCGTCATCAGCAGCATCAGTATCATTAGCATCATCATCATCATCATCATCATCATCATCATCATCATCATCGGTAACATCGTCGTCGACATCATCATTATCATCATCGCCTTCAACATCATCATCATCATCATCAGCATCATCATCATCAGCATCATCATCATCGTGATCATCATCAATATCATCAGCATCATCATCATCAGCATCATCATCAGCATCATCATCAGCATCATCATCATCAGCATCATCATCGTCATCATCATCATCATCATCAGCATCATCATCATCAGTAGCATCAGCATCATCTCCATCGTGTTTCTTTTCACGGCAAACGAAGCCTTGACGTACTAATGACAGAGCGCCAAAGCTAGTCCCGCACAAACGGAACCAACTCAAAACAGGCGATCAACAACGAGGAAGATACGGGCAAAAACGACGTTAAAATTGTTAAGCCGCACTTCCGGCTACGGGCGACAACGGCGTTAAAACTGTTAAGCCGCAACGTTTCACATCCGAGGAGGAAGAGGAGAAGGAGGAGGAGGACAAGAGGGGGAACTCCACCAACGGAGCCAACAATACGCCCAACAAAGTGTGACCCTTTTTTCGCTGGCTGGGGGGAAACTGCAAAATTGTACAACTAAGTGGGCGCAAGCTCCATGAATGACCACGTAAACTTAAAATACCCTGCTGCAGTGGAACACTAATCGGATGCGTGGGCCTTGCAGGCACAGGCTGCCAATGAATCCAACGTCGGTGCACGAGCCAATCTGCCAGAGGAGAGCATGTGCCGCGTACCGGAAACCACAAAGTACTGCACACCGTGCTCGTGAAAGTAGCCGCACAGGTGATCAGCCGTGAAGCCACGAGCGAAGCTGCGCATTACAGAATGGCGAACTGCAAATCTGGGCCCTAATCGAAGCGGAGAGACAAATCCGCGACGCAGCATGCTGAAGAGGCATCGGAACTAGCACAACGTGGCGATCCCCAGCGCCACTACATCACACTCACAGCGTCGACAACGAAAGTAAACACCAAGCGGGAAGAAGAGACAGGAAGGGGGGAGGCACCAGAGGGGGCGGACAAGGAGGAGGAAGGAGGGGAAAGCACAGACGAAGACAATGCCTTGGCACCGAGCTCGAGACACAAGCAACTAGCCAACTCGAGCGACAACGTTCGGTATCGCACAGACTCTCGTTTACAAAATGTTGCATGTGTCTACGGCGCGCTGACCACGGAGGCCATCGCCCGACTGCTCGTCAGTCTGGGCACCCACATGACCACTGCAGTCCAAACGCAAACGATTCGGCAACACAGTTTCGACTCCAGGGAGGCGGAGGGGAAGAAGGCGGAGGAGGAGGGAGAGGAGGAGGAATTGAAGCCAATTCGATGCCTAAGCACGCCGCAAAGCAGGCGGGCGGGCCCAAGGTGTGAGGCACACAGCAAAATTTAGCAGACTGGGGCGACCTATGCGCCCAGGGGGCAGAGCACCCCCTCCAGGAGACGCCCAATCGAACGCAGTGGATTCAGGCGTCCAGGAGGGGAGAGAGGAGGAGGAGGAGGAGGAGGAGGAGGAGGACGAGGAGGGAAGAGAAACAACAACAAACAAGTACATCCTGAGCGATGCCACATGCAAGAGGCAAGAGATGGGAAAAGCAGACAAGCGGCACCGTTCACTCGGACTCTGGCGGCTCAGTGCCACGACGTCCCTCACGCACGAACTCCTTGAATGCGTCGTCGATGTCTCCAATATCCACGCGGCCATATCGACGGGCATTGTGCAACCGGTACAGACCATAAATGCCTAGGGCCCACTGCTGCGTGGCCTCGTCGCTCGTCCGCGGAACCCCCAGGTTGAGGAACCAGTCCAGAGCCATGCCCCCTGTGAGCCGGACGTCGTCCAGAAGGCGCCGCACCACCGGGCAGTAGGCCAGATGCGTGATTGTGTCGTCGCCCCTCCAGCATCCGAAGCGGCAGCGTCCGCAACCGCCGAAGCGCGAACTAGTGCACCAACAGTTGCACAAAAGGCGGAAAACGGCGGACCACACTCGGGGCTGGCAACTGCGCCCAATGCGCCGCAGCGTGCTGAGAGCGCATTCGAAGCGAAGCCGCGGGGAATAGCTGGATGGCCCAGTGGTGGAGCTTTCTATGGAGCAAGGCGCGGGCCGAGGCACCAGCCGAGCCCGCTCGCTGCAACTGCAAACGTTGCGCGGCGTGTCGTTGCCATCCCGCCCGCGTGCCCCAGCGCAAATCACTTGGGCTCGTCACCATCATCATCACCATCACCATCACCATCACCATCACCATCACCATCATCATCATCATCATCATCATCATCATCATCATCGTCATCATGACGAGTACCAGCATCGTCTGCATCGTCAGCATCGTCATCAACATCCCCATCATCATCATCACCAACAAAAACATCATAATCATGATAATCATCAGCATCAGCAGCATCATCACCATCATCATGATTATCATGGTCATCGTCATCGTCATGATCATGATCAGCATCATCATCAGCATCATCACCGTCATCATCATCATCAGCAGCATCAGCAGCATCAGCATCAGCATCCTCAGCGTCATCAGCATCACCCATATCATCATCATCATCATCAGCAGCAGCATCGTCATCATCATCATCAGCATCAGCATCAACATCAGCATCACCATCATCAGCATCGGCATCATCATCAGCAGCATCATCAGCAGCATCATCAGCATCATCATCCTCGTCATCATCTGCAGCATCATCATCACCATCAGCATCGTCATCATCGTCAGCATCGTCATCACAATTATGATCAGCATCATCAACATCGTCATTTTCACCATCGATCAGCAGCCGCAGCAGCATCACCATCATCAGCGGCATCATCATCATTAGCATCATCAGCATCATCATCACCATCAGCAGCATCGTCATCAGCATCGTCATGAACATCATGGCCCGAGTCATCACCAGCATCATCATCAGCATCGTCGTCATCATCAGCAGCAGCAACATAAGCATCATCATCAGCAGCTTGATCAGCATGTTCACGAGCATAATCATCATTTGCATCAGCAGCAGCAGCATCAGCATCCTCAGCGTCATAAGCATCATCAGTGACATCATCAGAATCAGCATCCACATCAGCATCATCATCATCATCATCATCGTCATCATCATCAGCATCAGCATCATAATCCACATCATGATCATCAGCATCATCATCGTCATCAGCATCAGCTTCATCATCATTGTCGTCATCGTCATCATCAGCAACAGCAGCCACGGCAGAATCATCATCAGCAGCTACATCACCATCATCATCAACACCATCATCATCAGCATCAGCAACAGCATAAATCAATAGTGAATTTGTTTCCATCCATCGACCTTGGGGAAAACAAAACCACGCAGTGCTGTCTGGAACGTGACAGTGCGTCGGGTAGAAAATAATAAAATTTCCCGTCGCAGGGCGTGTGGCCCTATACTCGCCCAGGCTGGGCGCGCCGTGCAGGGGGCTCAACGAGCGACATCAGCAGCATCAGCATCATCCTCATAATAATCAGCACCATCATCATCATCAGCATCATCACCATCAACATCATCATCAGCAACAGTATCGCCAGCATCGGCATCATTAGCAGCATCGGCATCAGCAGCATCATCAGCATCATCAGCATCGACAACATCGTCATTAGCATCATCGTCATCATCGTCATCGTCATCGTCGTCGGCATCGCCATCATGGTCGTAGTCAGCATCAGCACCAGCAGAAGCATGATCTGCAGCCGCAGCATCATCCTTCTTCTCCTCATATTCCTCCTCCTCCGCCTCCTCCTCCTCATCAGCATCGTCATCATCAGCATCAGCATCACTCCTCACTCCTCACTCCTCACGCCTTACTTCTCACTCCTCGCGCCTCAGTTCTCCTCCCCCTTACTCCTCACTCGTCACTTCTCACTCCCCATTCCTCAATCCTCAATCCTCCGTTTCTTCTTGCGCTTCCTTCCTGTCCTGCTCATCTTCCTCCTCCTGCTCCTCCTCCTCCTCCTTGTCGTCCGCGTCCTCATTCTCCTCCTCCTCCTCATCCTCCTCCTCCTTCTGATCCTCCTCCTACTCCCTCTCCTACTGCTACTCCCCCCCCTCAGCAACATCAGCAGCATCATTCATCATCATCATCATCATCATGATCATCAGCATCGTGATCATCAGCATCTTTAGCATCGTGGTCATCATCATCACCCTGAGCATCACTCTCACCATCATCCTCAGCATAATCATCATCATCAGTATCATCATGAGCATGGTCAAAATCATCATCGTCGTGCGCCCCCTCCTAATACTCATCGTCCTCCTCATCCACCTCATCAGCTTCGTACTCCTCCCCTTCCTCGAAAATACCATCGGAATCATCAGCAACAAAGCAAAATCATCAGCATCAGCATCACCACCATCAGCATCATCAGCATCACCATCATGAGCAGCATCAGCATCAACATCAGTATCAGCAGCCGCAGTGCCGCAGCAGCAGCATCAGCATCATCAGCAGTGTCATCATCATCATATCATTACCACCAACGTGAAGGTCATCGACAGGGTCATCGGCAACATCGTCGTCACCTTCATCAGCATCGACATCACCATCAGCATCATCACAAGCACCAGCACCATTAGCAACAGCAGCGTCATCAACATCATCAGCATCGTCGTCATCATTCCCAGAATCGTCACCATCATCATTCTCACAGTCAATCAGCATCATCATCATCATCACCATCATCATCAACAGCATCATCACCAGCATCATCAGCAGCATCAGCATCAGCATCGACATCATCATCACCATCAGCATCATCAGTATCATCAGCATCATCATCGTCAACAGCATCATCGTCATGGTCATCCTCCTCCTTCTACTCCTCATCATCATCATCAACATCATCATCAACATCAGCAACAACATCAGCATTAACACCACCGTCATAATCAGCATCACCATCATCATCACCATCAGCATCAGCATCAGCATCGTCATCATCATCAACAGCGTCGCCATCATCATCAGCAGCACCATCAGCAGCATCATCAGCCGTATCACCGTCAGCAACATCGTCATCGACATCAGCGGCATCATCAGCAGCATCATCAGCATCAGCAATACCATCACCATCAGCATCATCATCAGCATCATCAGCATCAGCATCATCGTCATGATCAGCAGTAGCATCATCGGCATCATTATAGTCATCATCATCAGCAGCAGCATCATCAGCGTGATCAGCATCGACAACATCAGCATCGTCCTCATCGTCATCAGCAGCAGCATCAAAAAACAGCATCATCAGCAGCATCGTCATCAGCGTGATCAGCATCATCAGCATCATCATCGGACTAAGGGCCGACATCATCAGCATCATCATCATCGTCACCATCATCGTCGGCATCGCCATCATGGTCGTAGTCAGCATCAGCACCGTCATAGGCATGATCTGCAGCCGCAGCATCATCCTCCTCCTCATATTCCTCCTCCTCCTCCGCCTCCTCCTCATCATCAGCAGCACTTCTCACTCCTCACTCCTCACGCCTTACTTCTCACTCCTCACGCCTCAGTTCTCCTCCTCCTTACTTCTCACTCGTCACTTCTCACTCCCCATTCCTCAATCCTCAATCATCCGTATTGTCTTCCCCCTCCTTCCTCTCCTGCTCATCTTCCTCCTCCTGCTCCTCATCCGCATCCTCCTCGTCGTCCTCGTCCTCCTTCTCCTCCTCCTCCTCCTCATCCCATCCTCATCCTCCTCCGATCCTTATTCCTTATTAGAATACAC